CACTATGGTCAAATGCCTCCTGGGGCATGGTGGCCATTCTTTGGGAAACACTGTGCTAAAGGAATCAGCAAAAATGTGTCTGGAATAGTGAAAGTAATTCCTTTTCATAGTTGTAAATATATTCCAGTGGAACATTTGACAACTGAAGTAACTCCATGGCCTCAATTCACTTCTCTCTTTCTTTCCTCCCTCCTTCTTTTTCTTTTTCTGGGCTTTCTTCTCTCTGTCCTCCCCCTTTCACTGATTTCCTTGTAGTTGCCAAGAACGATACCACATTTATTGTCACCATAGACCTTCAGATTAGTTTCTTGTCTGCTTCTTGAGGGCAGGGACTATGCTTGAGCTATGTGGTATCCTCAGAAGCTGCCGCAATGCCTAGCCCAGGGAAGGACTTCAGAAAGGCTATGCTAGGTGCATAGACACTGTCCCTGAAGTCACAGCATTCTGGACTTAATAGGAGAAATGGACCGTAAACCAGAAGTGGCGAATGCTGCGATCTGGGCATGCACAGGCTCCAGTGGTGAGATAAATGGGTGAAGAGTGGTCTTGGTGCCTTTACGAAGGAGACTCGAGATCCATCATGAAGAATGAACAGATGAAAGAGAGAGACATGCAAGGCAAGAAACAGCAGGGAAGCCTGAAAGGGAAGGATGAGTTTAAGGGTTATGAAAACCTTGGTTTTGAAGGTGAAGGTAGGGCTAGGTACAAAATAAGAACAACAACAACAACAATAATAGCAAATACTTTAGCATAGTTGGCACTTACAGTGTGCCACTTACTATTTTAAGCACTTCATAAGTACTGCTTTCCTTAATCCTCACAACCACCTTGTGAGACTGAGTATTATGAGGATCCCTATTTCATGAGTGAAGAATGGAAATGATACCAGGTTGCCCAGGTAGAATGGCAAAGTTGGTGGGTTCATAGAAGCACTCTGACTTCAGATTCTGTCTTCTTAAGGACTGTGTTTCCTGGATCAGAAAATAAGAGTGGAAAGATTAAAAAAAAAAGGTGGTGTGTACTGAGAACTAAATATCTAATGGCGCAATTGCAGAGACTGGGGTGTAGGCTGGTGGTGAGAGTAAAATTTCGTGATGGGAAAGGTGTCATTGGGTAGGTAGCCACTCATCTTGCTCACTCCTCAGAATAGCTTGGAATGGCAAAGTGGCTTTTTTGCCAGGTGGTGGAGGCAGGTGTCAATCAGCAAACATTCACCGACACTTCTTATGTGCCAATCAGTGAGTTAAGTATACAGAAAAGTATATACGTTCTCCTGCCCTTGAGGCTGACACAATCTTTGCCTTAGAAAGGAAACAGATAAGCAGGCAGTGATTCCTCAAAGTGATACAAGTCATGGTCGTTCCATAAAACCATGGTGGGTGGGGATACAAAAGAGAGAACCTGCTTGGAACATGTGTGTGCACGCGTGTGTCTGTCTTAGGCAAAGCTTCACAGAGGGCACACAAAGGAAGCTGAATCTGGAAGGATGAATGAGAGTTTGATAGAAGAGGAATAGAAGCGTTTCTGGCAAAGAGAACATTGTGAGAGAAAGCAGTGTTGTAAGAGGGCAGGAAGTGTTTGGGAAAGAGAAGTTTAGTTTGGCTGTGTGTCCAGAATGATGGTTGGCGCATAGTGGATGCTTCATGGTTTTGAATGAATGAGTGAAAAGATAAATGAATGGCATCAGTGGTAGAGGAGGTTAAGGGGGGTTATTGATGAAGGTCCTGGTAGGCATGGCCATAGAGAGTGGTCTTTATTTTGTAGGCAATCGGAGCCCATTGTGTTTTCTGAACAAAGAAAAAAATATAATCAGATTTATGGATTAGAAAACACATTCTTGCAGATGTTTTGAGGGCAGAATTGAAGTGGTGAACTTTGCAATGGTCTAAATAAAAGAGGCAGTGGGCATCAAGAGGAGGGAAAAGATTTGAAACATACTTGTGGGGAAGAATATAAAGGACAGCAGGGAAGACAGAGGGTGAGGAGGGGTGGAAGTCACAAACATTGGTTGTAAACCATGGCCCAAAGCATTTGACACTTGACCCAATGTCTTACATATGGGTCCATGGGAAACAAAGTCTTCCACTGGGCTTATTCTGTGTCATGTGTCACCACTTATCCATCAAACAGGAAGCCTTAATTGGTGTGTGTGTGTGTGTGTGTGTGTAAAGTCAGTATTGACAAAATACCAAGAAATTGGCAGCATGTGTGTGTGTGTGTGTGTGTGTTCATGTGTGTGTTTCAGGTTGGATTTTTTTAGAAATGTATTTTGGCAGAAGTGGAGGAACAAGGAGTCTGGGGAAATAAAGCTCTTTTTTTACCAGAACTTACTCAGTGCTGGAGTTCATTTATAGGAAAGTGAAGTTCCTATGGAGAGAACAGGGGCCTCTTTCTCAGAGGTCTTGCTCCATCCAGCTTGCTGGGTTTTGGCAGTAGGTGGAGAAGGGCTAATACTGGGAAGGGGCGCATTTGTGGGATCAGAGGCATCACTATTGATTAAACGCGGTCCATTGCTCTCATATTTTTACTATCCCCATGTGTCCTTCCTTTCAAACTGGCAGCTACAAGCAGCAAAAGGAAATTGGAGCCTGTGTGATTTTTGCCTCACTGGTTTGAGCTTTGACTTTATTTATGCCTTTAATTTTCCATTTAGCAGATAATTGTTGCTTTGCATTCTGTTTCATGAAATGTCCTGGAATTGAAATTAGATTCTGCCCTTGGACGTGCATCTCTGATTCCTGTTGACAGCCCCCATGATATCATCCTTTAAGCTGAGCTCTTTTCAAAGCAGATCAAGCTTCCACGCATGGAGTTTCTCACTCTCCTCTTTCTTTTCCATTTCTGGGCTTCTTTGGAACCACTGCAGACGGTTCACCAGTCCCTTCCAGTCTTGATCCTTTAACACCTGGCTAAATCTTCAAGCAGTCAGCCACAAGGAAGACTGTTCTAGAGGAGAAGAAACGTCGGCTTTGGGGTGGCCACCTTGCTCTGCCACTTGAGTGTAAAGTGACATTGGAAAATTACTTAACCATTATGGCCTCTGTAAAATGGGAATAAAAAGCAGCTCATTCTAAAGATCATTGCAATTATTTAAAATATGATGCCTAAATAATGAAAACATGCCTAGGACCTCATGTACAGTTAGTAAATATTAACTATTGTCAATTTTATAACTTTTTTATTTATAAGGGCTTCAAACAAAGGAGAGGGCATTGGGGGCTTAGTATTTTCATGTAACATTTCTTGGAGATTGCTTTTCTGCAAACAATGAATTAAAAGAAGACTTCTTTGGGGAAGAGAGACTTCATTTAGATCTTGAAGGATGAAAAGATTTGGCTGGACAGAGATGACTCCTTAGCTTGGACTGACATATCGAAGGCTCTGCTTGGCCACTGGGTGCTGAGAGGTGTCAGATGTATGTCTGTTCTCCTGTGCAAAATAATTTATGCTGCCACTGCTCTGCAGCTTATGGTGCTCTTCTCAATGAGGCTTGCAGGGTTACGGCTACACTTCCATCTTTACCTACACCACCTCCTTCTTCTCTCATCACATATCTTCTCTTGATAGGTGTCTCCCCATCCTCTCTCAGTGGGTCCAAACACTAAATTCTTGGGTCTTCAAATGTGGATATGAATTATATAGCTCATTTTTGCCATCCCTTAGTATTGCCGAATTTTTGTTTTGTTTTGTTTTTGTTTTTTGAGATGTAGTCTCACTCTGTCACCCAGGCTGGAGTGCAGTGGTACAATTTTGGCTCACTGCGACCTCCTCCTCCTGGGTTCAAGTGATTCTCCTGCCTCAGCCTCCCAAGTAGCTGGGATTGCAGGTGTCCGCCACCATGCTCGGCTAATTTTTGTAATTTTAGTAGAGACAGGGTTTCACCCTGTTGGCCAGGCTGGCCTCGAACTCCTGACCTCAGGTGATCCACCCGCCTCAGCCTCCCCAAGTGCTGGGATTACAGGCATGAGTCACCACGCCCAGCCTGAATGGTTTTTAAATTGTTCCCTCCCTGTCTCCTTTCCTCCTTTCCTATATCCCTTCTTCCCTCCTTCCTTTTCATCCTTTCTGGTATGATGATCATTTGAATATAATGACCACACCTGGCTTTAATTTCCAACTCTGCCACTTATAAACCATAAGCAAACTTTTCGTATCTCCAAACATCTGTTTCCTTCTCTGTAAAATGAGAAAAATAATTATATACATAGGAATCTCAGGATGATTAAATGTACTAATATATGTCAGGGCATCCTTCAGCATTTCTGACCTAGAATGAAAGCTCAATAAATGCCTTTTTTAGTTACTATTCAACAAGCATTTGTTTGATGAAAAAGTACATATGTATATTTTGTCCACACATATATACACATATGCATACAGACATTATATAAATACATATAATTAGAAAAGTGCAGAAGACAATTTGGAGTTTCTCAGACCATTGAGGTCCCCAGGCAAAAAGCTCTGGAGAACAGAACCTCCATGGGTTTGCTCATCCTGTGCCCTCCCCTGGAATGACATTTTTACTGATACTATTTCTTTTCAAAATGCTGTGGCTCCAGCAGGGCCTCAGTTAGCCTTACCGCATTGCTAAGCCTTTCCTCCTGCCTCTCCTCCTCACCACAGTGCCCAGTACAGTACCTGCAAGCAACAGAAATCTAATACGTACTTCCAAAACTGCATACACTGAGATAAAAATAAATTCAAATTCTGCCACTTATAAACTAGTCAGATTGTAGAAGACTTTATTCCATCACATCAGTTAAAAGGCCAACAGGAACCACATCTCTAGCATTTGCTAGTAGAACTCAGTCAGTGCTGCCCCACTCTGCACAAGGACTGTGATGGTTCAGGTGAACGAACAATCAGAGACCTTTTAAAGTAAGTGTAAGATCAGATCAAAATTAACAATGTGGAATAACCCACATTTTGTGTGAATTAATTTATAATCATAAATAAGATATATTCCATATGTAGGAAATAGTCCTTTTTCTGTTTTGTTCACTGCCGTGTCCTTTGTGGACCTCACAGCCCTCAGCACTCAATGGGCTGTAATAAATAGAAGCAAATGAGTGAATGAAGGAATGAATGGGTAGCTGAAGGAAAATAAGCTGGCTTAAACTGCTACAATTTATTGAGTGCTTATTTGCATGCCAGAAACTTAACATACATTATTTAACCTGAAAAACATTATGGTAGACTCTGTTATTATTTTCATTTTTCCCAGTGAGGAAATTAAAGTTTAGAGAAGTTTGATCCCTATGCCAAGGCCACACAACCAGGTCTGGTGGTTTTAACCATCAGAATACACAATTAAATGCCTTGTTTTAATCTCACCAAATGGTAAAAGAAAAAATTAAAACTTTAACATTGTAATTTAGTCTGAAACTGATTAAAATCTCTAGTGGTTGCTCAATCAGGTGGGATATGGTTTCATATTCCATAGGGCTCTGCCTCAGTTTCTCCATCTGTAAAGTGGAAATGATGAAGCCTGCATTCTCTCTGGGAGGTTATAAGATTTAATTAGGGCAATGGTTATAAAGATGCTTTGAAGTTAGAAAGTGCTTATTAATATCAGGGCTCATGACTATGTTTCCAAATAGGATATCCTTGTCTTTAAAGCCAATTGCCTGGGATGAGCCCCAAAGGCCTCCCAGAGGGAATGGTAGGAAACATTAGCCTTGGATGCCTAATTCAGCCCATATGGTTTTGCAGCAATTCCATAAGTAAAGAGGAGACTGAATGATCCCATCTCTTTAACGTTCAAGTGTGGGAACATTAAGAGTTTGCTCCTTAATGATTATAACATTCAGGAATGTTGGCACCTTTTCTTCCTGACTTCACGTTATGAAACTCGGGGAGTGTTGAGTAACAGGATGTACGTTCATGCCATTTTCAGTTTCTTTGGGGGTTCATTTTGGGAAACCTTCCTTCAAGCAAGAGCTTCAGTGGTTAGACACGGAACAGCCCTTTAACCTCAGGGCTATTGCCTCCAATGTGGTGTAAAGGTCCCAGTTTGTGGAGTAACAGTTGGATCCTGTTCCTCATCAGTTAGGAGTCATTGTTTGCAAATGTGTTCCCCGATGGAAAAGGATTAGATCCTGGACAGTAGGGAACATTATGTTCATATTGCAAAATCTTGGTACAATCTAGTCTTGGGCTGATGGGAGATTTGATGAAGCATTCTTCTTCTTGGCTGAAAATGTCATCGTAGGGCTCAGTACACTGCCATATCCGGTCCCTTTCCCCTGACACACTCCCATGCACACTGCAAGGCAAAAATTAAATAAATCTTTTTGGTTCTGTTGGAGGTGCCCCAGGGCTATGGGAGGATCACAGAACTCAGATCAAAAAACTGATTTTGCCTTGCTAATGTGTTACTTGAGCAGGTTGTTTTAAATCTGCAGCCTAAGTTTTCTTATCTGATTTGGTAATCATAATATGTGATCCTTTTTGTCACCCAGAGTTTTCATAATTATCAAATGAGTCTATATGTCTGCTTCTATCTATCTATCTACTGATCAATAAAGAAATGGGAGGCAGTCTAGCATGATGGCTATGATGTGTATTTAAATGCTGTGTGGACTTGGGAAAGTTACTTAACCTTTGTAAACCTCAGTTTCTTCCTCTGAAACAGAGAGCTAAAAATGACAATACCTGTCTCAAAATGTTCCAAAAATTAAATGAGATGATCTATGTTGAAGGAAATAGCACAAAACTTGGCACAAGATAAGCTTTTGATAAATATCAGCTATGGTCATTATCCTCATTGTTAGAAGAATGATTTAAAAAATTAGAAGTTTCTATACATACAGAAAATATTATTATTGTTTAAATTTGCTCTCTATTTGGGTAAAAAGCAATTCTGAGGCTTACCAGTTGTTCCTTGGAAAAATGAATTATTCACCAGGTTATTGGCTTCAGCACATTTCATCCTCAGCAGGAACAAGAGAAGTGCAAAATCTGCTGGTGCAGTTGTGGCCCACTTACAGGGGTACACTTGAGGAAACTCAGCTCAGTGAGAATCTGATTGCAATTGTTTCTTGTGAGGTCAATGTCTTTTGCAGATTAGGATCAATGTTGAAAAGATGCCTGGAAAGTGAATCTTCACATATTGAAAGCTCTCTTCGTACTTTTTCTTTATAAATGTACAAATATGTTCATCCAGAAACTGAGATATAAAACACACTGGCAAACATAACCAATAGTTCCAATCACTGCTGCAATGGGAAAATAGCAAGTGTGCTAATAAGATAAACCAAAATTGTAAAAGAGCTAGGTTTTCCTTTGCAATGTGGTATCTTGATACCTAGAAGTAATGCATGCCGAGAGAACAACAGAGTCACCTATGTGGATCTTTAACATACATGCAGGGGTCCAGCTATGCCCCTTAAGCTTCTGATTTGTATGCCTGGGGTGAAGTGCAGTATGTTTTGTACTTTTGTTTGTTGTCACTCCATGTATGATACTTATGTGACAAACGCTGAAAGGGAAGACGGTAGCATCCTAACTGAACAGAACCCAATCACTAATTTAATAGTTCGACTCAATATTTTGCCTTGACAATATCTTCATTTGACTGTGCAGATCTTGTTTTCTAGCTCTTAATTTTAAAACGGACTTTTTCTTTCTTTATCAGCCTCTTTGTGCTAAAGAGAAGGAAATGTGGTTGTGGAAAGGGAACAGGTGGCAGGAACATAGCGATGGAAAAAACAGAGAACCCTGATTAGAATACACAGACTACTTTAAAGAAAGTGAAACAAGATTGTATTTTTGGAACCAAAAAGAGGCAAGGAATTCTGAAGAGTGAGTTTTCAGATAATGAATATGCAGCTACTGAATTATGAAGGCTGGAGTTATGCAAGTCTGTTACTTTACTCAGTTGTGATTAGTAAGATCTGATCTGCTTAAAATAAAACACATAGATGCATATTCCCAAAAGAACAGAGAATCAAAATCTGTAAATGTGGTTTCCCTGAAGAACCCAGTGGGCTGTCTGTTTACAGGTGTGGTAGACAGTTTCCAAGATGGCTTCACCAACACTGCTCACTTCAAGAGGTGGAGTCTTAAATCTAGGCTGACAGTAGTGATTGTTTAATAGAATGTGGAAGAAATGACATCCTGGGACTTTCAAGGCTAGGTCATAACAAGTCTTACAGTGTCTGCCTGAATCTCTTAGAACACTCACTTCTGGGAAGCCTCGGAACCCACCTGCCATGCGGGGAGAAACCCAAGTGACATGGAGATGCCATGTGTAGTTTCTCTGGTTGACAGTCCCAGGTGAACAGCTGACCTTTGCCACAACAGCCACATGAATGAGCCATTTTGAATGTTTCTGTTCAACGTAGCCCTTGGATGACTGTATCCATGCCAGCATTCCAGCCAATACCATGTGGACGAGAAGAATCACCCAATGAAATTCTGGAATTATGAGACAGAATCAACTACTTTTCTAAGCTATGACATCTTGGGCTGGTTGTCAATGCAGCTATAGATTACTTAAAGAACGTGCTCACTATCCTATATTTGCAAGTAATGGGGAGATATTAAATTGGTTGATTTTGCATATTTATCTCCGGCCACACAACCAGCCAGCCAGCCACTCTTCCACCTACCATCCTATCTATCCAACTATTTCTTAACAACTTATTGTACATCTACTGTGAAAAGGGCAATGGAAGACACAAGTTTATTCTTTCATATTATTTAGAATTTACTATTGCCAGATATTGATCAAAGAGTTGTGGACACACAGGCAAATGAGTTGAAATCAACAGAATAAGACATATATGGTACCTGTTCACACTCCAGTGGGGGGAAGATGAAAAGCACAAATATATTTAAATAAATAAATGGTGTCATTTAAAATAGTGCTACAAAGGAAATAAAATATGATTATGGGATAAAGATTTTCTGAGGTACCAGCTAAGTGTGCCGGTTGTACAAAGGATTGCTGAAGAAGGGTTCCCTAAGAAGCGACATTTGAATGGCAAAAAAGACAGCTGTGTAAATAACTGTGGTATAGGACGCACTTTTAAAAAAGAATAAACAGAATAGAGGTCCTGAAAAGGGAATAAGCTTGGTATGGAGGAGGAACAGAAAAAATGCTAGTGTGGTTGGCTCATTTTAATAAGGACAATGGGAGAGGAAAGGATGGAGAAGTAAAAGGGAATAAGAGCATGTAGAAATATAATTCAGAATATATCGAGGAGAGATTGTTCAATTTTAAGCAAGAGAGAAATACGAGTTGAATGTGTTTCCAGATCACTCTTGTGGCTGGGTGTAGAATGAACTGTCAAGGAGCAAGAGGTGAAGCAGGGAGATGGCTAGGAGGCTCTTGCAGTGGTCCAGGAGAAATTTGGTGGTAATGTGCACCAGCTGGTAGCAGTGGAGGTTGCCAAAAATGATGCTACTCAGAATATATCTTGGAGGCAGAATCAGTAGTACTTGCTGATGGTTTGAATATGAAGTGTTAGGAAGAATTAAGGATGACTCCTAGTTTTATAGCCTGGGCAACTGAGTGAATAGTACTATTATTAAAGGAGATAGAGTAGATTGGAGAGAAGCAAATGTGAAATGGAAGTGGGAAAGTTCTGCTCTGGCCTTAGTAAATTTAAGATCACTAGGCATGCTAATGAAGGCGTTCAATAAACAGCTGGAAACACAAGCCTGATAATCAAGGGAGAGTTCTCAACTAGAGTAGTCAGCACACAGATTTTATTTAAAGCCATGGATGTGTTTCCCCAGAGAGAGTGCAGAGTGCGTCTAAGCCAAGCACATTACTACATTTAAAAGTTGTGAACAAGAGGAGGACCCAGCAAAGGAGATTCAGAAGGAGTAGCCAGGCAGGCAAAAGCAGAACTAGGAGAATGTGTGGTCACAGAGCCAAATGAAAAAAATGTTTCAGAAAGGGAGGTGTGCACAATTGTCAAATGAGGCTTAGAAGTCAGTAAACTGGGGCCCATCGGATTGGGCCAGATGGAGGATGTTGATGAGCTTCACAAAAGTAGTTTTACTGATGTGGTGGAGACAAAATCTGATAAAAGCAGGTTAAAGAGAGAAAGAGAGGTGAAGAGTTGGAAACAGACAGCATAGTCAACCCTCAATAAATTTGTCTGTAAAGAGAAAAAACTAAGGCAGTTGTTGGAGGGGGACATGAGGTTAAGGAAGTTGTTTTTTTTTTCTTTTAAGAGAGAAGGATATATTTATATATCCGCATATTTATCTTTTAATTAGAGGAGAAATCGCTGATTTAACAGATAGGTAAAAATTATGTAACACAAAATTAGAAAAGTTAGAAATCTCCTTTGAAACTTTTGAAAATTTCCGTAGATTTAAAGGAGCTTTATTGATCCTATCTGTAGTAGGAGATACTGACTTTTTTCCCCTGCCTTTCCAACATTCAGACACATGCACCTACATATACACCAATAAAAGGGAGGAACGATTGATATGAGACCTATGAGATCATTCGAAATGCAAAACGTTTGAGTATATGAGAGAGGATACGGTACCGGCTTAGATAGGAGTGGGAACTGGTCATGTATACTGACAGGTAAGGATTGTTTCTGCCTTGCTCACTGTAGATCTAAATGGCTCCATTCAGCCTGGGCCAATTATAATGCCCCACACTCTGGGCTTTTCTGATTTGTTCAGGGATGAGCACATGGCCTAAGCCAGGCCAATTGGCATCTCTCTCTATGATTTCAAATAGGAACTGAAGGAGGCAATGTGTTCATCTCTACCGTAGAATGTGCTTCTAGATCAGCATCTGGCATGGTCCGTGTTGCATGGAAGATGCCTATCTCAATAGAAGGTGATGAAGTCAGCATATCGATAGAAGCATAGCTGAGAGGTGAAAGGACAGAAAGCCCTGATAGGTTTTTTGCTGTGGCAGAAACCCATCATACAGCTTAGACCCATCTCCCCACATTTTGTGTTTTAGAGGAACCAGTAAGTTCCTGTCTTTTTGCATAAACTAATTATAGTTGGGTTTCTATTGTTTGAAACTTAAAGAATCTTGACTAACAGCCCATCCCATGATGAAGAAACTCCTAGCACATGTAGAAACAGCCATCCTTCCCAACCTAATGATGATCATTACTTCTGCAGGGAATGCCTTAAGTATGTGAGAGTCACTATTTTTACTGACAAGTTTACTGGGATAGTCCAATCTGACTTTTCTTTTAGATTCTATTTAAAGCTGTGATAATCAGTATCTGATATTTGGATTTGGATAAGGAAACTCTATCTGAAAACCACCACCAACCACAAGGCTGTGGCTAAGAGGAGACAGTAGCATCAGCATTGGATAAGTGTTGCAAAGGAAAATCAGCAGCTGTCTCCCCCTTGATATTTTATTTACGTTCAGTACTGGACAGAGAAGGTGGAAACTAGCAGTCTAAACTGGTCTGTGAAAGTAGAAATTCCTTGACTTGGTGTTTTAGTCGTTTTGGGCTGACATAACAAATTATCATCAGCTGTGTGGCTTAAACAATAAACTTTTATTTGTCACAGTTATGGAGGCTGATAATCCAAGATCAGGGTACCAACATGAGCGAGTTCTGGTAAAGGACCCTTTCCAGTTGCAGATTGATGACTTCTCACTGGCTTCACAGGGCGGAGAGCTGGAGCGCGCTCATGGGGCCTCTTTTATAGGGGCATTAATCCCACTCATGAGAGCTCCAGCCTCATGACCCAATCGCCTTCCAAAGGCCTCATCTCCTAACACCATCACTTTGAAGGTTAGGATTTCAACATATGAATTTTAGGGAAACACAAACCCTTAGTCTATAACACTTAGCCTGAATGCCTGAGTGTGTGTGCATTTGTGTCTCTAAGTCAGGGGCGAGTGTAGATCCTAAAATCATCCCCAGGGTCATTGAAGAGGTGTCCCAAGGGAACAAGCGGCCTGGGGATCAGGGTGATGCCAGCCAGCCTTCACCTTAGTGCTCACAGTAAGCTCTCATTTCACTCTGGCCTAATCAGTACAAGAAAAAATGATCTTTTTTCCAGCCTTATGGTTGGAAAATTAAGAGTAACTTTTTAACAGAAAATGGGAGTTGGTACTTATTTTTAAAGGGTAGTGTGGCTGGCACATTTCTGTAGTAGCCAGCTGTCAGAGGGACCATCGTAGGGCAGCACAGCCAGGAACCTTGGGATCATCTTCTAAAATCAAGTCATCAGATCCTTGTCTCCTCTAGATTTCTTAGATCAGACTCTGACCTGGCCCAAATCTGATCTCTCAGCATTGTTCATCCTTTTTTTCCTTGAAAATCTATATGTATCTCTGTATCTTTCTTTTTTCGTTTTTCTTTTTTCTTTTTTTGAGACGGAGTCTTGCTGTGTTGCCCAGGCTGGAATGCAGTGGCGAGATCTTGACTTACTGCAAGCTCCACCTCCTGGGTTCAAGCGATTCTCCTGCCTCAGCCTCCCGAGTACCTGGGACTACATGCGCCCGCCACCACGCCTGGTTAATTTCTTGTATTTTTAGTAGAGACAGGGTTTCACTGTGTTAGCCAGGATGGTCTCGATCTCCTGACCTCGTGATCTGCCTGCCTCGGCCTCCCAAAGCTGTTTTCCACCATGGGGTGCATTTGCTTTGAAAATCACCTCGCGGTTCCCCTCCTGCCCAGCTCCCTGTGAACTTTATCTGGCTGACTTCTGGTCACTTTTTGTTATTCCTCCTAATGTCTCACATCTGCCACCAGTTCTTCTTTCCTGTCTTGGCCTTGGTTTCTTCCTTTTCTCTAGGTTTCAATGAAACAACTTCATGTTTTAATATGATCATTTGCTTGTAGAGTTATCTTCAGATGTTTCCCTTTGAACTTGATGAGGAGAAACTAAGGGAAAATGGACTGTTTCTGAATAGTTTGTGTCCCATGTGCCCAGACTCGGGGGGGCACTAACGTCAGCCTATTGGGTGATTATCTTTCTGAAAATGCAGCATTGAGGTACACTCCTGTGCATAACAGCAGAGATTCATGTGTATTCCAATTTGCAGTCATCCTGGGAGTAGGTGACTCCTGGAGTGGCAAGTGAGGACTTCGGAAGTGAGTGTGATTCTGGACTCTGAGAGGAATGCCTTCTTTTGTGGGTATTGGGTGCAAGGAGGGGTCACAGTTTAGCTGCATTTAAATGCAATGGATTTAACTAGAGAGATTTCAGTGGGAAGAGCATGCTATGTCTGGCCCCATTGAGAGAAGCTAGGAGTGCGATGACAAGCCAGTCCAGCACTGGCCAGGGAAGGCCAGAGCAGGGATCATGGTTATCCTGTTGTTAGTGTCCCTGAGCCTTTAAAAAAAGCTTAAGAAACAATTACATTTGGTTCTCTCTTCTGCTGTGTGGAGTTAATAGGAA